AGTTTTGGCTCTTGGCCTTCCACTCTCAACACTTTAATTTTGCTGGGGGCCTCTCCAAGCATTTGCTGGCCCACTCTTCTGATTCTAACAGAGAAATCTAAAACCGATTCTAACTCACCTTGGTAGATAGTCTGGAGTTTCAGCGCGCCTTCTCCCATAAAATTACCTCCGTATGCTAACTCTAATTCTTTAACCAAAACTCGGTAATGTTCATCCGTTAATCCATCGACGCAGCAAAGAAACTCCCGGGCTTTTCCAACAACCTTTTTCAAAATTATGGTTCTCATGTTGTCATCTGTGATGTCACAGCCAACAAGAGCCACACAAATATCTTGCCACCAATCAGCCCAATTCTTGTTGGCAGCGCCAGAGAAATTTGGCAATTGATTGACAATACTATTGGTAATTTGTTTGTTGCCCTTTGGAGCATCTTGGCTGCCCGTTTTCATATTAAAGAACACCACCTCGTCTGAGCTAGGTCGATCTAGCTGGTCAAGAGTTAATTCTTTTGTTAACAGTTTGTTCTTGATACCCACCATCTCATCTAATTGCGCTGCTGTCGGGTAACCTCATCTTTCAGATGGGTCGCGAACAAAGTTAACTGGGCAGTTTCAATTGCCACAGTGCTCTTGTCTCTAGCAGCTAAGTTAGGGACAAGAGCATCCACCATCGTATTCCAAGCCTGAATTTGCTCGTCAAAAAGTTCTATATTACGCCTATTATTGATAAGCATTGCTTCTGGCAGGCAAGGTTGAACCTCGTTTTCCAAATACAACGCATCGCGTTCTACTTCTAGAAGGCGAACCAATTCACGCAAATATGCCACTTGATCCTCGGGGGATTCGCGCAACAGCCTATTTCTATGGGTGGTGGGGGTATCAGTAACAACCGGCGGAGGGAGCATTGCGTCCGATACACTCATTCAACTGAGTCACTGGCACTGACACGTTTTTCACCTCCCTAGATTGGCTACTTTTACTGAACTCTTCACGAGGTCTCTTAAAAATTTAGAATGCTGCTCTTAGTTGCACTTTTTAGTACCCACTAATTTTATCTCTCTGCTTTCCTTTATCACGCGCGTTGACACAAGGCAGTTAAACACACTGCAGAGGAGTAACAGCACTCACAAATTTACAGAAACACAATCTAGTCGGTGCACAGATTAGCTTGTTTTACTTGTGGAACACTCACCCCCCACAAAAAGAAGACGGACGGCTGCGCCAATTTCTGTTATACAAATTCCCGAGTTTGGTGAGTTTTAAACAAATACTTACTATTACGTCTAACAGCAAGTTTGTTACCAACCTTGATACTTTTAGATAACAAATTCTATCCTGGTTCCTTAATTGATGTCTTCCGCGTACTTTGCGGGCCAGAAGGATTTTTAGTTAGTCCAAATAAAATAGCTACCAGGATCTCACGTAGAGAGGCAATAAGCTTTTATTGACAGCGCACAACAACAACCAGTCGCGAGTGCTAGGGCACGAATGCTGGTGAATACAAGGAAACATACATGGTTAAAGGGCCGCGGTGGTCAGCCAGCAGGTTACTCAACTTGTGGCTGACCAGCAGAAAGAAACAATGCACACACACGCAGGAGGACAGTGGTGCCCTCCATTGCTGGCCTCAAAACTCTCAACGCTGAAAAGTTTAGTGCAGCCCCTTTTGGGAGGAGAGATAAATATAAGAGAGAAACACACGAGAAATACCAGGGAGCCTGCACACGCAGCACTACCCATAAAAATATTTGGGATCACAATACGGCAAAACCGTAAAAATATTCTTTTGGATATATACAACAAATATGGGCAGTTGTAACCCAGTGGTTTGCAGATAATGGACGAGCGGAAATCATACATCAACAAAAGTTGGAGAAATTTATGAAGGGTGCAAAGAGGACAGCAATAAACTTTGAACCCAAAAATTCCGTATGGGACGCAGATATTGTTCTAAACAATATCTGCCAAAAACAATTCCCAGTATCCATTCTGGAGCAAGCAAAAGAAACATTGCTCATCCTGGTCCTTGCAACTGGACTGAGAGTGGACAACATCTCAAAACTGGGGAAAGATTTCTGGCAAGAGGGCAATGATATCTTTATCCCTTTTCTTGAAATGCAGAAAACATTGGCAGCAACGCCGCAAACACGTCAGGGTATTTGTTTGGAACCATATACTGTTGATCCTCAAATATGTCCAATAAACCTTGTTAAACGATACCTCGAAATGACATCATTTGAGCACAGATCCCCCTATCTCTTTGTAAGGGCGGATAATGGACAGCAACTAAAAAAGGCTACGCTTCGCCAAGGGCTAATCAAGATCATAGCAGAAATGGGAATTACAGATACTCATGGATCAACAAGATCCGCAGCTGCCAGCTTTGCTTGGGCTAAAAATAGATCTTTTGACTCAATAGCCAAGCTTACATGGTGGAAACAGGAAACAACATTTCAGAAACATTACAACTGGCAACTCATGAAGAGGGGACAGAACCTAATGGACCCCCCAACACCCAGCAGCAGCTGTGCCCCAGGCACTTCCAGGCGCACACCCATTGACGGACCAAAAATAGATTCGATGGTGCATTTTGCTCAAAAATCTTCCTTAACTTTACAACCAGAGATCGGCAATAAAACAGTTCGAAACAGGAAGACAAAAATAGTGCTGGTCCCTTGGGATGCAATTGTGACACAAACTTGAGCTTGCGTAGCAAATTGCAGCACTTTGGAAAGGCAGTGACAAGTGTTTTACAATGGTTGCAACAGCTGGTTGAGTGTCAAAGTGTGAATAAAATGTTTCCGCCAAAAAAACTTTGAAAAAAATCCCTTTATTACAGTAAGGAATTCACAACAACATCCTGTTCAAAACACTTAACAGTGTTTTTTTGTGCAACAGCACACATATTATCTTGGACTTCAAATCCAATTCTAAAGATTTGCAGTAAAGAGAATTAGTTAGGGTGTAGTAACAAACCCCCAGGCAAGGGCACCGTTAGCCTGGGGAAGGTTACTACTTACCTAACTAAATTCTCTTTACTGTCCCAAATCTATAAATAATCCCAACCCATCCCTTGATAAAAAGCGGATCCGCGTCCAAGATCCTGCTAAAGCTCTGAGGGTGGGGGATCCTGGTAGCTACCTATGGGTCAGTATTTGCAGTAAAGAGAATTTAGTTACGTAAGTAGTAACCTTCCCCAGGCTAACAGTGCCCTTGCCTGGGGGTTTGTTATTTTTACTGCAGATAATGCAGTATCTGATTTTTTTTGCAGTTCTAGAAAAAGGATTGTGATCAAAATGGCAGATCAAAGATAGGGAGTTGAAGTTGGTATATCTTATAATTTTCTTACTTTTACTTTTTCTCTTCTTTTTCTTTGCGGTCTAATGCAGCACATTGTTTATTCTGATCACGTTTGATCCAAAGTGATGAGTATGAGAACAGTCGAAAAAAATCCTGCCATTTTAGTTTGATGGATCGGGCACTTCTCTAATTTCAGAACCATCAGCACAGAAACACGATCGCTTATTTGTTAGCATCATTCAAGACGTCTTTTCCTTTTATGATGAGACACTTCTCCTCAGAAAATGTGACTGAAAGTTCTAGAAAATTTGAGAATCACTATAAAAAGATGGAATAGGTGATGGCCAACGTTTTTTCATTGACTATCAAAAATGGAAGCAGGATCGTGTGCTGAAATTTCTAAAATTTCGAAATGTTGACAAGAAAATGAGTGAATAATGACCAGGAAAAATTTTGAAAATGAATCGTCATATCATCTACTGTATATGTTTTCAGTTTCCTTGAAATATGTGATAATTCATTTGGAAAAAATTGGGCGGCAGTCAGAAATCAGACAATTTTCGCACGCTGGGTTCCATTCCGTAATAAGAGATACAGTATCATCAAATCATCTAAAATATAAACAGGAATAACAAGACTAATTGCTTCAATCTGATACCTGTCATGTGTAACCCAGAAACCGAATTGCGATTATTTTCTTTTTTCCATATATGGAGAGAGATCCTTCTCTACAAGGTATTCGTTTCCTTGCAGCTGTTCCCTTTTTGTCTTGGTTCCCCCTCTCTCACGTCGGCCCGCAATAATGCGTGACGGTCGTTATTGCACATTTCTCCTTTTCAACTTGCTATTTGTCAACAGTGTCAAACAACTTGCACTGCCTTCTTCTAAACTGCTAATTTAGAAGAAGCCTATTCCGCCAAACTCGCGAGCGTATATATGTTATTTATATTTATAATATACAAGCTGGGGGTGCCCAGCCACACCTGGGCAATGGTTAGTATTAATTTTGGTAGATTTTGAAAATGTGTCATGATTATAGCAAGTCTGATGTTCAGATGCAATTTTTCAGCCCCACATGTTGTCATCATTCGCAACATTTCATAATGAGGAGGAAAAATCAAAATGAGAGTAATGAATGATATCTTTGGGGACACCTAAATCTGGGAATGCCCAATCATGCCTGAGCATCACTCCTAAAATTTTGTAGGATATGAAAATATTGCTCTGAAAAGAGTAGTCCTACACTCATGAATCTCAATAAAAAAATGTGTGGCTGGGTTGATGCCTTTCCCTCAGTCACACTCTCACCACTTTCAAGACCCATTCTGGATCAACTTGAAAAAAATGTTAACACATCCATCTTGCTTTGATTTGAAAATTCACACAATTTCTCAGAGAGACTTGCAGAACGTTTTAGCAAGACTCTCTTAAAGCTCTCTACAGTCAACCCCCGGTTAACAAACTTAATTTGTTCCACGAACTAGTTCAGTAACTGGGGGGTTCGTTAACCGAAATGAGATCCGCCATAGACATTAATGTTAAAATTTTTAATTCGTTCCGAAATTTTGAAATTTGGTGGAAAAAATTGGAAAAAAAAGAAAACACTTGAATTTTGTGACTGCACAACACTGGCACTTCATGTTCCATCAATACATGAAACAATACAGCTTGTCAGTCACTTATAAAATCATTACAAAAAACTCAGTCAGAGTCACTTTCATCACCAATTGCCCTCTTTTTGACACCAGATGCCCCAGCTTGACCACCTGATGGTCCAGCTTGGACGCCTGATGGCCCAGGCTGGACACCTGATGGCCCAGCTTTCTCAGGAGAGAAGAATCTGTGAATTGTTGTCTGCTTTTCTTTGCTCTTGAGGAGATTATGGAAATGCCTGCCACAAACAGATTCTGTAACATCCACAGCCTGATGAGCCTCAAGCTGGTTGGGATGGTGTTGTATGAAGAAGTCTTGAACTTCTTTCCATTTTCCTAGAATGTCCCTGATGGCAGATGCTTTGATGTTGCACTTCTCATCAGATGTTACTCTGAAAAAATGCAGACAGAGAAAGATTGTAAGACCATAAGTACCATCATTTCCCCTACTCATTTCACAATTTATTAAATGAAGAACAATAAAGAATGAGAAGGCAAACTCACTGCTGTGGTTTAGTCAACTCTCTCTGTTTTTCATCTTCTGCTTTTTCTGCTGCCATTGCTCTCAGCTCCTCCACACTTATGTCTTCTGTGTCCTCCTAGACAAGTTCAGTGAGATCTTCTTCATCAACATCCATGTGCAAGTTTCTGGCAGTTGCAACAATTTCTGCCAAAATCCCCTGGTCTTCCTCATCATCCAACTCAGGTGCTGTTTGGCAGGCTCTTGGCATTAGGGTCTTCCAAGCAGAGTTCAGAGTTTTCTGAGTTACCCTTTTCCAGGCTTTCGTGATCAGCAGGATGCTTTCAACAATGGTGAACTTCTCCTTCCAAAATTGTGTCACAGTCACCTGACATAAAAAATTAAGTCCAGTCATATTCAGTAATTCAAGAAACACTTTTATACAATTTACTTGAGTTAAGTTCAGCTGGCACTCTTCAAACAGCATGTCAAAGAGAAGCTTGGCGTAGAGCTTCTTGAAGTTTGCTATCACCAATTGATCCATGGGTTGCAAGATGCTTGTAGTGTTGGGAGGCAGGAACTCAATCTGAAGGAATGCAGAAAGAGGAAGAAGCATTAGATTCATCAAAATCATGAAATTTCAAAATTATAAGGAATGAGAAGGCAAACTCACCCTTATCCACTTATTTTCTGGGAGCAAGGCAGCATCTCCCCTAGGGTGGCCAGGAGCATTATCCAAGAGCAACAGTGCTTTCACTTCACATTTGTTCTTTTCAAGATATGCCTTGACTTCAGTAGCAAAAACTTCATTTAGCCAGGATCCAAAGACTTCTCTGGTGACCCAGGCCTTCTTGTTGGCCTTCCAAAACACTGGAAGCCTGGTCTTCTCAATCTTCTTTGCCTTGAAGGGCCTGGGTGTCTCATACTTGTACACCAACATGGGCTTAATCTTGCATAGCCCAGTGGCATTTGAACAAAGAAGGATGGTGAGCCTGTCTTTCATGATCTTCTTCCCAGGCATCCTTTTCTGTTCTTCTGTGATGTAGGTCCTGTCTGGCATCTTCTTCCAGAAGAGGCCAGTCTCATCAGCATTGAAGATTTGATGTCCATTGTAGCCTCCTTCATTTATGACATCTTGGAGTGTGTGACAAAAGTTTGCTGCCTCCTCCTGGTCAGCACTCCCTCCTTCTCCTGTCATCTTCACATTCTTGATCCCAGTCCTTTTTTGAAATCTGTGAAACCAGCCATGGCTAGCTGTAAAACATGCAAAGAATTCCATTACCATCCAGCTGAACAGATCCTGTACACTGTAGAAGTTTACCTGGGAAGCACTGTTAATATTACAAACTGTACTAACCTTTGAAACCTTTGATCTCTTCTTCAATACCATCTTCTTCCTCTTCATTTTCAACACCTTCTCCATCAGGATACTCCTTGATGAGTTCTTCATAGATCTTCCTGGCCTTCCTGCAGATGTGCTCTCCAGACACAGGATCACCTCTCCTCTGCATGTCTTCAATCCAGATGAGGAGAAGCTTCTCCAGTTCATCTAGCACTGGGTGCCTTTGGGTTTTGCTGGGGATTCTGCTTGCACCCTTTGGAGCAGTCTCACAAGCACCCAAGATCTTGTCCCTGGTAGACCACATGGTGTTGATGCTTGATTTGTTCAGCCCATACTCCTTGGCCAAATCTACTTGTCTTTCACCATCAACGAGCCTCTAAATGATGACTTTCTTCTCTTCAAGAGTGAAGAGCTTTCTTTTTTTGCCACTTGAGTTTGGCATATTGAACTTTTTGCACTTTTTATTCACTTTTTTGCAGATCTAAAACAGAAGAAATCAAAATGAATGTTCATCTGAACGGATGGAATAAAAGTAATAAACCAACACAAATACACACTCCCAGCAGTGGAAAGCACTGTTTTCTTACAGAACAAGTGAAAACACAACACAATCACTCAGGTGAGGCTTTATAAACATCTGTAATGCATATTTTTGAGCCAAACAAGAATTTCAAAGAGGAGGAGTAGTGAACGCCGCACGCGCAACGGGTTGACTGCAGTTCGTTAACCGAATGGCGGTCCGTTAACCGGACCACTCAACAAAAAACGGATCCGATTTTTGGCGGTTTGTTAACCAAAAATCTGTTAACCGGACGGTTCGTTAACCGGGGGTTGACTGTATTTTTGTGTTTGTGAGATTGTACGAATATTTGTGGATTGAATATATTTGAAACATATTTTTATTGAACTCGAACATTTATTTAAACCTCGGTTTACAGACAACAAATTGGCGCAGTCGGTAGTCTTTAACTTTTTGTTAATTTGACCCGACCTTTTTTAAATTTCTTTTTGTGTGGGGTGAGTTCCCCTTACTATTTCGTTGTACGTAACTGCAAATTTAAAAAACTAAAGAACCGTACAGACAAGTGTGTATTTTGAAGTGTTCAATACAACTTGACCAAGTGAACAAATTGAATTGCATCCCCGACAGCAAGTGGGCCGCGACATCTCCTCTCCGCGTTCACACCAAAACGAAAAAGATCTGAAAAAGGACAGAAGGATCCCAACCCAGCGATCTACACAGATCAGCCAACCCAGAAAAAGCGCAAGTATCACACAAAACCGTGATACAAAATCTGTGAGTCTAAATTGACCCAAAAGATCCCCGCGCAACCCTGCCCACGAAAGGATCCCCTCGACACTCTCCCGTGTCAACAGATCTTGGAAAAAGACCGCTGTGTTTAAATTAACCAGCAAAAAATCAAAGAAGTATATTTAATTTGTTGTATCATATTTTCTGAGAAACAAGGAAATATAGTATTTATCAATTTTAGTGAAACTTGAGAAAGGAAATTCATTTTCATTGTAGCGAAAAAATTTAGTGTGTGAATACAGCATGAGTATTTTTTATGGCTTATTGAGCTGACAAGAATGAATTCACAGAATAAAAACCTTAGAATATTTCTTTTCCGAACGGATGCGTTTGGAGGAACATATTTGAAAAAGTTGAATGCAAGTACAGTATCTCCTTTTAAGATTACTAAAAATATCAATGGAGCCAAGAAAAAGTTGAACTTCTCAATATTGTATAGAATATTCAAAAAATGGAAAAGCTCTGTCTCCGCAGCATATTTTTCATGAATACCTGAATGGAAGAGAAAATATTCGAAAAAAGGCATACCGGTAGGTTCTTCCAGGGTGACTATATTGTTGAGGACTTCAATAAGGTTACTCGACAATAAATTTGATTCTGAAAACAATAAAACACATATATCAGCCTGGGACTGGCTGGGAGCCTGGCTCCAAAAAGAACTGGGTTTATTTATGTCCCAATAACACAGCTTCTAGAAACTCAGGGAATCTCACAGTCACACACACACACACACACACACACACACACACACACAAAACAATTACTTGAGTCTTTCAGGAATAATATAGGCAAGGTTTTTGAATCTTTTCAGTCGGAGAGTTGGCAGTGGAAAGAAGGATCATTTTTAGTTTTTCAAGAGCAGAGAGAAGAAACAAGGAAAGTTGTTTTCCTTGAGGCCTGAATATTGGTCTCTGAATGGTTCATTTTGTCAGAATCAAAGATGATGCTGTGCATCCTCTTGCAAGTCCTTTGGGACTTGCTCTTTGGTGCTGCACTCTGTGTGAGCCACAGCACTGGTTTATGCAGGATGGGGGATCATTAATTATATGTCATAGATGTTCGCCTCAGCCCCAAACATATACATCAATTGAACCATGAAACACTGACAGAAATTTCCACATTTTTTTCAAAAGTATTGTTTTTGGTCAAACATGCATGATAAATTACAGTCAATCCCCCCTCCCCTGGAACAGACCTGATTTACATAAAAAGTCTGTTATGCAAATTCAATTATTAAAAAAGTAAAATTCTTACTTTTTACCATTAATTTTAAACCAACAGAAGTATTTTAGACAGATTTTATCCAGTAGTCAGGACTCAGGAGGAAAAACTGCCTCCAGAGTCCAGACTCCAGAGGCAAACTTTTAGTCAAAAATTCCTTTAGGCAGGAGGTCCATAGGCAGGATTTGACTGTAATTAGAAACTTATTTCCAGAATTTCGGAAAAAAGATTTCGTGCACATCAAAATGAGTGCTGCAAGGCTCTCTATAGGCACATTATACATTCTGAATATATGTGGAGTCTCAGTTGAGATTGAAAACGGATCTGTCTTCTTCAAATGAATGTTTGTTTTGCTTTCAAAATAATGGCTCACGGCGGAATAGATCTTGATGACCATGAATTTCTTTTCAAGGCAACAAAAGAAGAAATATAGGTGAACCAAGAAAATGAGCTTGGGGTGTCTCCCACATTTTGAGGGAATAACTCAGAACAAAATAAAGTGAAAAAAAACTGTGCTTGGTTTTTTTTCCCCTTTGTGCATAATTAACCTTCGTTTCGAACGGCCTTGATAGTTCGGGGGGGGGGGGGGAGTAATCGTCAGTTCTGCTTTGCAGAACTGACCATCCGAGTGAATTCTACTTACGGTTTCAATTCAAATTTCAGCACAAAGACAATAAAACTGCTGCTCAACCTGTTAAAACGGTGTTCAGCTTATGGAACGTTCTCCATTTGTATTTTTAGCCTCATCTCTGCTGGTAGCGTTTCCACCAATAAAAATGAGTTTCATCAGCAAAAAACCTTTCCAAATTCACGGAAGAGATAGAAAATGTTCATTCTTTTCTATTTTGTTTCTGGTAGTGGCACACAATTTGTTTGCTGCAATGATTAAAGCTGAGGATCTTTGCGAATGGAAAAATACTTTGAATCAATTTTTTTCGATTGAACGGGGCGATAAATTCCTACGAAAACGATGCTTGGAAACAGTGAAGTTGAATGTGATGTGTGGCAGGCAACAGCCTTGGAGCCACGTCGAAACTTTCTTGGAACTTTTGACACAGGCTTCCGAAACACAGTAATACCGGAAATTGTCATTTTGTGACACGAAACAGCTCATAGATGCAGACGAATACGCGTGCTTCATGAGTCTTTTAATAGGAACCTGGGTTCTGTGGAACAAGAGGTTTCCAGACCTTTCATAGAAATCGGAGGATGTAAATAATGTGGATAAAGAGGTTTCCAAACGTTTCATAGAAACCGGAGGATGTAAATATTGCCATAAATATTGTATATATTTTAATGCGATTCTCTTTGGACTACAGGCTGTGAATCCAGTAATATGCAACCCCGAGATGTGGGCATAATTGATGCATCAAGAGTGTCCTGATGTCAAAGTGTCTGTATGCTGCCTGTCAAGTAAAGTCACATTTTCACCTGACTTGAGCCGTAGAATTTGTAATCAATGTTTTTCTGAATAAATATTCATCGGGGTTTCATGAGAAATAAATGAAAGAACTGTCTGCCAATGGCAAATTAATTAATCTGTATATCTTTAAACCTATTAGGGACACTTGGAGAATATTGGCAATAGGAACATCAGCAGAATAGATGTGGAACTGATGACAGCCATAAGTAAAAGCTTTATTTTTTAATATGCCACACACTTCCATATATGCCGGGTTGGAAATATCTATTCCTTGTCAATCATCCTGAATTTTTAAATTTCTTTTTGTGTGGGGTGAGTTCCCCTTACTATTTTTGTTGTACGTAACTGCAAATTTAAAAACCGAAGAATCGTACAAACAAGTGTGTATTTTTTGAAGTGTTCAATACAACTTGACCAAGTGAACAAATTGAATCGCATCCCCGAGAGCAAGTGCGCCGCGACGTCTCCTCTCCGCGTTCACACAAAAAACGAAAAAGATCTGAAAAGGACAGAAGGATCCCAACCCAGCGATCTACACAGATCAGCCAACCCAGAAAAAGCGCAAGTATCACACAAAATCGTGATACAAAATCCGTGAGTCTAAATTGACCCAAGAGATCCCCGCATTCACACCAAAACAAAAAAGATCTGAAAAAGGACAGAAGGATCCCAACCCAGCGATCTACACAGATCAGCCAACCCAGAAAAAGCGCAAGTATCACACAAAACCGTGATACAAAATCCGTGAGTCTAAATTGACCCAAGAGATCCCCGCGCAACCCTGCCCACGAAAGGATCCCCTCGACACTCTCCCGTGTCAACAGATCTTGGAAGAAGACCGCTGTGTTTAAATTAACCAGCAAAAATCAAAGAAGTATATTTAATTTGTTGTATCATATTTTCTGAGAAACAAGGAAATATAGTATTTATCAATTTTAGTGAAACTTGAGAAAGGAAATTCATTTTCATTGTAGCGAAAAAATTTAGTGTGTGAATTTGTGGAAAGAAGAAAAAGAAGCCCAGGAAGAGGCAGAAAAGAAAAATCAGCCCTGAGAGACGTCTCAGATGGAAGAAGACCGCTGTGTTTAAATTAACCAGCAAAAATCAAAAGAGTATATTTAGGTTATTGTATCGTATTTTCTGAGAAACAAAGAAATATAGTATTTTATCAATTTTAGTGAAACTCGAGAAAGAAAATTCATTTTCATTGTAACGAAAAAATTTAGTGTGTGAATTTGTGGAAAGAAGAAAAAGAAGCCCAGGAAGAGGCAGGAAAGAAAAATCAGCCCTGAGAGACGTCTCAGTGAGCTTTGCAAAGACTATAGCAACGAGTGGAGTGATTTGAAAATCTCCGCATTTCTAGGAAGGATTTCTTAGAAGAAAGTTGAGAAATATTGTTGAGAAATATTGTTGAGAAATATTGTTGAGAAATATTGTTGAGAAATATTGTTGAGAAATATTGTTGAGAAATATTGTTGAATCGAGAAATATTGTTGATTTAAAGAAATCCCATTCGTTATCAGCCATTCAAAATGACTGAC